TACAACAAGCAAACGGAAAGGACATTGTTGGGTGGGAGGGGGGAGAGGGAGGAGGGAGGGAGGTTTCGGTGATGGGCCATAATAATCAACCACATTGTATATCGACAAAATAAAAATTTAAAGGGAAAAAAAAAAGAAAGAAAGAAAATTATTTTTCTTTCAAAACAAAAACAAACAAACAAACAAAACAAATGAAGTACTATAAAGGATGAACAAGAGAACACCAAAGAAACAAAAATATTTCAATAAAAGGTGCGGTATGAACAAGGTCCACTCATCTAACAAAGATTTATTGTGAACTTGCACATGGTATTAGAAATCAGCAGAGTAGGTACCTTGGCTGGGAGGGGCACAAAAAGGGATGCTTCTGAGTTGCTAGTAATATTTTGCTTCTTACTCTGAGTGCTGTTTTCATGTTGTGTTTGCCTTGTGAAAATTCATGGAGCTTGTACTTGTAATTTAGAATTTATTATATGTATAATTTATGTACTTTGCTGTGTATGTTACATATCAATGATATCTTCCCCAAAAAATAGTGAACTGGGGCCAACCTTGAAATGCCGTTTAACCAACACTAACCTTGTCTGGTAATTTCCCAACAATGCTTTTGTTCAAGCTATTGTCTGCTCAAGAAACCCTTTCTTTTCATTTGTTTTTATATTGACCCAGAATAAATCTACATTGCCTCTGGGCACAATTAAGTTCTTCCTGTATCACTTTTATAGCAATTATCATAATCTACCTTGTGTAGGGCTATGTATGTTATTTCTTACTCCACACAAAATCATGCTTCTGAAGACCTTCAATAACAAAGTGCCTAGTGTACTACCTCACATATAATGATCAAACACTGTTTGCTTGATTAAACTAAAATATATTAAATAATCCTTACCTTAAAGAGTCTAAAAGTTCAAAGATGTAGAAAATAATTTGATAATGCAATCCAGAATATAATTAAGGCCTACGGACTGAAAGGGCTATTCGATGTTGTCTTTAATTATATGCAGCAATCTTTCACTGAGTAGATAGACTTGGAATGGATTCAATAAAATGACAGTATTTAGATGAATGGAAAGTATGACTGCAACCATTCCAGCATTGTAATTCCAGGGGGAATTGCAAAATATTCCATTCCTGTACCACCCAGTGATTTCTTACTAAGTAACAAACCACCTCAAAATTTAAACAAGTGGTTTAAAAATAATGTATTTGATCATGTGTATGCAATCTGAACTTGGTTCAACTGGTTGGTCTTCTGCTAGTCTTGCCTGGGTCATTCACATGAATTCACTCATCTGGAGGTTTAACTGCAACTGGCCAAGATGGCTTCAACCACATACCTGTCACTTCAGAAGAGAATGCAGAACAGTTGGGGACTAAGTGGGCATCTCTTTTTCTGTGGTCTCTCCAGCTGGGTAGCTAGACCTCTTTTCTGGTGCTCAGGGTGCTCAAGAAGCAGTACTCCATGAGGACAATCCCCAACGTGCAAGCATTGATCAAGTCTTACTAATGTCCCAATGACCGAAGCAAGTCAAATGGCCAAGCACAGGTCATTATGGGACAGGGCTACACAAGGGTATGAATCCTGGGAGGTGTGGTTCATTGCAATAGCTAATGTAAAGCAAAATTATTTAACATTCCTAAGCCTTAGTGTTTTCAACTGTAAAATGTAGCTGCTGTGAGGATTATGTGAGATAAAAATAAGATTTAGAAGATAAAGAAGCTAGAACAGACATGTCAGATAGGAGAGTCCAATAAATGTTCTTTTCCCTCTGTTTCCTTAATCCCCCCCAAAAAACCATCCAAAAAAAATTTATTCACACATTTGCAATAGCATTCCATGGGCATTTTGGCTGAACAGAGCAGGGGCTCAGTGCTTCTTGGTGACAGAAATTAAACAGATAAGTTCACATTGGGGCTTGAATGCTTCCAGCTAATGAGGTTGGTAGATCATCAGCCTACAATGCATCCACTTGCCTCCACTGACTAGCATAAGGTCTAGAAAGCCTCCTAGGCAGTGGGCAGGGGGTGGGAAAAATTGAATCTTGTTTACTATTAATGGTTAACACATATAAACATGTGATGAACTGGGAGAGTCCCAAGAGGAACAGTGATGTCAAGAAGGACCAGAGGGGAAAATGTGTGATGCAGTGAGCCAGATCCAGTAACAGGACTGTGGGGAAAATGGCTCCAGGTCAATGAGGCACCTTATGCCAGAAATTACCCTATCCCAGCCACCTTGGAAGCACTTGTACACTCTAAAAGAAAGTGGCTACATGTATATATGAATTGAAAAAGCTATACTTTAAAAGCTATACTTTACCCAAATATTCTGGTATCAGATACCTCCTAATTAACCATAATGCAGAGGAAGAAGTACATTAGTTTAGTAGGACTGCTGTAACAAAGTACCACGAACTGGGTGGCTTAGAACAACAGGAATTTGTCTCACAGTTCTGGAAACCAGAAGTCTGAGATCAAGGTGTGGGCAGGGCCATGTTCCCTCTGAAGGTGCTAGGGAAGGATGTTCCATGCCTCTCTCCCAGCTTCCGGTAGCCTTAGGTGTTCCTTGGCATGAATAGATGTATCACTCCAGTCATGACTCTCTCATCACACTACATTCTTCACATCATCTTCCTATGTGTGTGTCTGTCTCTGTGTCTAAATTTTCCCTTTATAAGGACATCAATCATAACGGATTAGGGCACATCCTAATGACCTCATTTTAACTTGATTACCTCCATAAAGATCCTACTGACAAATAAAGTCACATTCTGAAGTACTGGGAGCTAGGACTTCAACATATCTTTTGGGGGAGGGGGGGGAACGGCACACCACAATTCAGCCCATAGTAGATGAGGTTTTCCCTTTCTCACCCTCAAAAAGCATCCTGACAAAGGTAAATTGGCTGAGCTCTACACAAAGATGGTGACTGAAGCACCAGCAATAGCAGCAACACAGAGAGCTGGCAGCTCAATCAGAGCAGGGCCTCTGCAAGGCTGCTAGAGCCTGAGCTCTGCAGTCCAGGTGGGCAGCAACCCTGGTGGCAACAGTAGAAATTTAACTCTACCATTACAGCTCAGGTGCTCAAAACAAATGAAGCCAGTGGGAACAGGGGTGGTAACTCTTCCAATATGGTGTCTCTGCAGCAATTGTGGGGCCAAGCTGTGATGTTCCAGCTTGACTAGTCAAAACAGAAATTAAAGGAACTATAGTGCTATATCATTACTTCGGGATTTCCTCATTGTTATGCAACACATTTGCCTCAGAAAGAGGATTCTCTATTACCAAGATCTACAAGCACTAATTCACAGTTTTATCTGGGACAATAGCAGCATTATATTTTTATTAATGGCATTCTAATTTCACTGATTTATCTGGCACAGTGGACTTTCAGCTTTACCAATGATAATCATTGTGATAACAATAAATAACAGTAAATTCCAGAATAGCACTAGAATAGAACTTTTAGATCAGCAGCAGATGATGACCAGGTCTAATTAAAAGACATTTGTTAGTACTTCTAAAGCTTCTGGGTATTATTTCAGTAGGATGGCTCAGAAAGGTTTATACTTCCTACTGGAAAGTGAATGAAAGCTTGGAGCACTGAGATTTGAATATTAAGGAAAATGTAACCACTTTTGTACCCACCAGCTGCTAAAGCCTGAGACATTCAGGTTACATTTTGTTTCACTCAAGGATCCATCAGTAGAATCCTTTAAATAGCTTTTCAGGTACACTTAGAATTTTTCAATTAACAAAAATAAGATTTCGTACAATTTAGAAGTTAACATATATATTTCTTAAATAGAGTATAATTAGGTACTAACTACCCATGGAGGTTTAGCTACATATGGATGTAGAAGTGGTATTCTACTTTTAGATTTAGTCTCTCTGTTTTAAAGTCTGTAATAGAAAATTCTTTCTCACCCAAACCAAAACAAGAGAATGGGATTCTCTTATTATACTAAGGTACATCATTTAGATATTCCTGTAAAAAACCTTGATATTAAATTATCTTACTGTCTAAAAATAAATGCTTATATTAAATGCATAAATAAATATTTGTAACAAAATACAACAGTATGACTTTCCTCTGCAAATTAGCATGGACATTAATTGCAGCACTATTTATAAAAGTAAAAGTTCAGAAATGTCTTAAATGTCTACTAACATGGGAATGATTAGATAACCCATACTTACAAATGGAATGTATCACAGCCATTAAAAATTGCAAAAAAATATTAAATGAAGTGAAAATGCTTACAATGTAACATTAAAAGAAAAAAGTAGCATACCAAACTATACATACAGCGTGACTACAATTTCTTTTAAAGAGAGAGGGAAGCAGAAAAAAAAACCAAGACAGAAACAGAGAAAGAAAGTCGAGAAGGAAATATAAAAACATATCAAAATATTAAAGTCGATCTCAAGGTAGCAAGGTTACAAGTAACTTTTACTTCCTTCAGAAGTTTTTCTGTGTTATCTAACTTTTCTGCAACCAATATATTTTCATAATCAGAAGGAAAATAATAAATGTCATTTTTAACATTACCATGATACTTTCAGCTCATATACTGCAAAAGAGTGGAAAGGCCTACTTACTAAGAAAAGGAAATTTAAATTCAGAAGATACAGCCTTCTATAAAAATAATTTTATTAAAATGATGATAAACACATAGGAATTATTATACTAATAAGCATAGTTTATGCAATATTCCTAAAATTTTATAAATGACTGCTAGACCACTAGTAGAAATAATTGGATCTTTGACAGCAAGAGTAAATTAAAGGCTCATAAAAGTACTCTTTAGTACTGACAGTTATTATTCATGTTAAGCTAACTGTGAACAAAACACACACACACCATCTTTATTTTTGTCCAGACTATTAAATGCCAGCTTCATTTTTTTCTCATGGTCTTGAAGGTACCGTGCAAATTCTACAAAGTCCAATCCTGAATCATCATTGGTATCTCCGGCCTTAAAAATTTCCTACAAGAAAGAAGAAATTGATTGCAGAAATGTATCATACATAAAGCCACTATACCATGCTAACATTTGCACATTTCATTCACACTAATTATGATTTCCATAAGCATCCATCATAGTTTTTCAGTCACAGCTACAAAGCTATGTACCACTTAAGTGATTTTTTTTAATGTGTGCAATACTAGAGTCAATAGCCATCATGACAGGCCAAATTATGATTCTTACAGTAAGTATTTACCTGAGGTAAACAATGAATGCCAAGTACCTCAATGAAATAAAGACACTAAGATACATACATGGCCTTTGCCATCAGGGACTTCATAATCTGTTAACTAAATGAGTTAAAATAAGTGAAATTCTAGTATGTTCCCCAGCTTAATGGTTTGAGATCTAGCCTCATAAAGTGAAAGTGTATGCTCAAATCTCACGGAGGCCATATGCTTTTTTAAATAAAAAGATTAATAAATTTTAAGAATGTACATCATATACAGTCATGTGCCACATAACATTTTGGTTAGTGACAAAATGCATATACAACAGTGGTCTCATAAGATTATAATAGAGCTGAAAAAATTCCTATCACCTAGTGATATCATAGCTGTCATAATATTATAGCACCATTATTTTTTTTTAGTGTATAATTTTAGTGTAGCCTAAGTGTACAATAGTTATAAAGTCTACAGTAGTGTACAGTAATGTCCTAAGCTTTCAAATTCACTCACCACTCACTCACTGACTTACCCAGAGCAACTTCTAGTCTTGCTCCATTCGTGGTAAGTACCCTATACAAGTGCACCACTTTTTAAAAATCTTTTATACCATATTTTTACTGCACCTTTTCTATGTTTAAATACACAAATACTTACCATTGTGTTACAATTCCCTATGGTATTCAGTACAGTAACATGCTATACAGGTTTATAGCCTAGAAGCCACAGGCCAGACCATATATTCTAGGTGTGTAGTAGGCTTATACTGTCTAGATTTGTATAAGTATACTCTACAATGTTCACACAATGATGAAATCACCTAATGACATATTTATCAGAACATATCCCCATTGTTAAATGATGTATGACTGTATATTTCCAGCAGACTCCTACTTCATAGGCCATGTCTTGTTCATCTTTGTACCAACAATGCCTAGCATAGAGTATGGTATAATAGGCCCTTAATAAATATTTATTGAATGGAAAAATAAATACTGTGAACCAGGAAGAGAACTAGGTGCTAGGGATTAAAGGACAAGAAGATACAGTCACTGCCCTGAAGGAAGTTACAGACTAGTAGAGAGACCAGTCACATAATCAAAGACAATATGTTAAGTGACATAATGGAAATGATTAAAGGTACAGTGAGAACTGGGGGCATTCAGGAGAGCCTTCGCAGAAGAGTGCTTCAGCTGAGACTTGAGGGGAAAATAGGCACTAGCTGGACATACAAATGGGAGAAGATATTATAAGAGTATGTGACAGTATTTACAAAAAGGCAGAACACACGTTAATTAAAAAACATAATAACAACAGTGATAATAATAAACTTATTGAGCACTTACTTCTAAGCATTTTATATGTGTAAACTCATTTAATCTTCCTAGGAACACTAAACAGTTGCAATCTGCTAAGACAAAATGCAAGGGAGAAAAGTAGTAGATAAAATAGGCAGGGGGGAGATCATGAGAGGACTTATAACCCACAAAAAGGATTTCAAAATAATTAGGTTATTGTTTCCCAATGAGTGAGATACATATGGTTCACACATGGAAATATATTAAATAACACTAAATCACAGTGTTAGAAAATTATTCCTGTTTTAATTGTCTTTCAGTCCTTCTGATTACATCATGGAAATCACCTTGATTTTGTGTTAATATGCCTCAATACTTGCCAATTTTTTACAGAAAAAAAAAATTGGAATATAAGCCTCAAGCTCAACTTCATTAGAGACTAATCATTAGAGAAATGCACACCAAAACTACAATGAAAAACCACCTCATATCTACTTAAGGTGGCCACTATTAAAAATAAATAAATAAATAACAAGTGTCAGGAAGGATGTGGAGAAACTAGAACACTTTTGCACTGTTGTTGGAAATGTAAAATGATACAGCCACTGTGGAAAACAGTATGGCAGTTCCTCAAAAAATTAAACATAGAATTACCATATGATTCAGCAATTCCACTTCTGGGCTTATACCCCAAAAGAACTGAAAGCAGGGTCTCAAAGAGATATTTTTATACCCATGTTCACAGCAGCATTATTCACAATAACTAAAACATGGAAGTAACCTAAGTGTCCATCAACAAATGAACAGATAAACAAAAGGTTGTATATGAAATATTATTCTGCCTTAAAACAGAAGGAAATTCTGACATATGTACAACATAGATGAACCTTGAAAACATTATGCTAAGTGAAAAAAGCCAATCACAAGAAGACAAATACTGTATGACTCTACTTATGTCAGGTACTTAGACTAGAATGGTGGTTGCCAGCAAGAAATGAGGACTTATTTTTTAATGGGTATAGAGCTCTAGTTTTGTAAGATGAATTGTTCTAGAAATGGGCGGTAGTGATAGTAGCACGACAATATGAATGTACTTCATACCACTGAACTACACACTTCAAGATAGTTAAGATGGTAAATTTTATGTTATGTGTATTTTACCCCAATAAAAAATTGGAAAAAAATATGCATAACACACCATGAATATTAAACAAATTACTACAAGATGCCATATGTTTCTTCCCAAAAGATAAATACCAAAATAAGAGTATGTAAGGTTCACAAAATTCTAGTGAGACCTTTCTACTTGTTTGCTATTTCAAGGTTTGTTAAGAAATAGGAAAGGACCTGACCAATGAACCTGATTCAAATAAGGTTGTTTCAAAGGTGAAGGGGATGTTCTGATCCTTCACCTTTGAAACAAACACCTTGCCTGCAAAAAACCTGGCTGCAAATTGAAGGCAAATCCCCTTACTGTGTCTGGCTCTATGACTAAATAAATAGGGGTCCAGACAGTTTGGACTTCTAACAAAAAAAATATATACATATATATATATTTTTTTCACTGAAAGGGAGCTGAAACCAGTATGACTAATATCTGAAGACTGTTTAGCATTGATGGAGGGGAAATAAAATAATTTCTTTATGTTGATATCCTGAAACTTCCAACTCAATAGTTTTAAAATAACCAAGTCAAGACCAACCTAGAGAAGGAAGACATCCCTAATTCAGGTGAGGTATGAAAACAGGAGGCTGAAATGTAAACCCATGGATCAAGGTCTGACTCCCCGAGACCTGTGGTGTGGAGGTCAGAAAGAAGCAGCTCTGGGACATTTGGAGAAGACCTTAATGCGCTTGGGCTGAGAATCTCCTGAGATAAGAGATGGTCCTTTACTTCCAGATTCATGGCTAACATGGCCATTGACGTTCTGGGTGGGTTCAGTAAATATTCAAAGAGTCACCAGAAGCCCATTCAGTCTCTCCCAAAAAGCCCAGAAGGTTTTGTGGCTGTGGAAAGTGACTATTTTAAGAAGGTTGAAAACACGTTTTGCTAGGCCGCCTTATTCTGCGTGAGCAGGCTCAGGGAGTAGAATCCCACCCCTACTCCACCGGCCTTTGAAAGAAGCTCTGGAAAGGGCAAGCTTGGCTTTAGCCTCGGCCTAAAGCCTCTCTAGACTCTCGGTCCACATTCTCTGGGTCGCTCACCGTCTCCGAATTCAGGCCAAACGAGGAACTCCAGTTTTTCAGCCCCTCCCGGAGCTCGTGGATGTCCACCACGCCGTCTCCATTGTGGTCCAGGTCCTCGAAGAGGACCTCGTAGCGGAAGGAGTCATCATCCTCCTGGCAGGCCGCCGCAGGCAGCACGAAACCCCGCAGCCAGCGCAGCATGGCGCGGCCTCACCTCGGCGCCTGAGCGGGGACGTCCCGCCCCACCCGGCCCCGTGCGACCCGGCACCGCCTCCTCGAAGGCCGGCCGCGCACGGAAGGAGTCATCACCCTCCTGGCAGGCCGCCGCAGGCAGCACGAAACCCCGCAGCCAGCGCAGCATGGCGCGGCCTCACCTCGGCGCCTGAGCGGGGACGTCCCGCCCCACCCGGCCCCGTGCGACCCGGCACCGCCTCCTCGAAGGCCGGCCGCGCAAGGCGGCGGGTTGGCGCTGTCGGAGCTGCTGAGGCAACTGCCTGGCGGGGCCTCCCTCGGGAGCACCGCCTCGTGTGACCTCTGGCCTCGGCGCCACGCGAGAGTGGTCCCGCCCCCGAGGTTGGAAGTTGAGGCGCCAGGTGCGGCGGTGACCGGTTCCTAGGACCGAGCCGAGGGAAGTATGGGGAAGCGGTGCACGTTCCACAGGTGGCGACGAAAGAGCACTCCGGGGACTAGACTCTTCTGGCACAAACTCAGGGCCTCTCGGAGGAGTGAGTTGCCCCGACCTGCCCCCCTGACGTCAACGTCCAGTGCCCTGGTGCCACCCCTCATCCCGGGGAAGACCAGCACCTAGGGCTCGGGACCCCGCTGACCTTGCAGAAGAGGTCTGAAGAGAGGAGTCATCCCAGGGGGGCCTCCGCTCTTGTCCCTTGTCACTCTTCCCTCCCGCCACCTCTTCTTTACTGCACACTTCCTCCTAAAGCTACTGCCATCTCACTTCAGACACCACCACCACCTGCCTTACTGAACTTTCTTGTCACAAAATCCAAAGGACACTTTTTTTTCCTTCTTTTTGGACAGCTGGGCAGTATGGGGATCCGAACCTTTGACCTTGGTGTTCTAAGCACCACACTCCCAAGTGAGCTAACCGGCCAGCCCAAAGAGCACTTTAAAATCCTTGAGTTTGTTTGTTTTTCTTTTTTTTTTTTTTAGCTCCCACCAATGAGTGAGAACATGTGGAA